ATAATTAATGCAGTACCTATTACTAAATAACTGTTCCAATATAGTGACATCTCATAAACACATCCCTTGGCAAAAAGGTAAATTCAGACACAGATTCTTACCTGCAGTTCTCAAATACAGGAGGAACAGCATCAAAAGAGATTTCAGAGAAAGCAGCAGCTAGGAATCATTTTCTGAAGCTCCAACCCTTCTGGGACCCAAAAAAGCTTCTGAATGCTACAGCTAAACAAACTAGAAAGCCTGATCTGAGAGAACTGGCCATTCCACTTCGATTGTTACAACTGTTTTTAAAAATAAAAAACTTAAAAGGCCTCCTAAACTATTGATTTAGGCTGTCTCCAGTAGCCACTTGCATACTTCTGCCTATACAACTTCTCTTCAAAAAAAAAAACCCAGGACAAAATAACCTTTTTAAAGTGGCAGCAACCCCCCTAAAAAATAGCCATCAATATACAAAGATGGCTACATTTAAAAACCCTTAGTCTTACTCAGTTAGTACACAACAATACATATACATTGACTCTAATCATGCAAACATTCACTACTACATTCTATTTCAGTCCGTTTACTCCTGCCACCGAACGCCTCAGTCTTTCTTCATTCAAGTTGCGACAATGCATCAACAATTACATTTTCTCGTCCTGCCACGTGGAAAATTTTCAAATTGAATGGCTGCAATAATAAGCTCCATCTAAACAGTCTGGAATTTTTGTCCTTAAATTTCTTCAAAAACTTTAATGGGTTATGATCAGTATGTACAATTGTCTCAGGTACGTTACTGAAAATATAAATGTTGAAATATTGTAAAGCCAACACCACGCTCAAGGTTTCCTTCTCATCCGTGGAATATTTCTGTTGAAGAGTATTCAATTTTCTGGAAAAATACCCAATAGGTCTTTCTATCTTCTCGTCATCTTCTTGTAAGAGTACAGCACTGACATCCACATCACTTACATCGTTAGCCACCTTGAATGGGTTTGCATAATTAGGTGTGGCTAATACTGGAGCAGTGGTTAACACAGCTTTCAGGCTGTCAAATGCCTTTTGACAGTCCACCATCCACTGAAATTTTCTGCACTTCTTCAATAAGTCAGTCAGCGGAGCAACTACACTGCTAAAGTTTGGCACAAACTTCCCTTAAAACCCACTCAATCCCAGGAATTGTACTGCTCTCTTCATCGATGGTATGGGAAACTCACCAATAACCTTTGTTTTCGCATTCCGTGGGGCCATCTGCCTATGTCCAATAACATGGCCCAGGAATGTGACTTGGGCTTTTGCAAATTCACTCTTAACCAGGTTTATCACCAAGCCTGTCTTCCGAAGTCAATCAAATATTTCCGATAAATGCTGCAAATGTTTCTTCCAGGGGTGACTAGAAATCACTAGGTTGTCGATGTACACCACTCAGTTGGGTAATCCTGAAATGACTTTATTGGTTAGTCTTTGGTGGCTGGCACATTTTTCATACCAAATGGCAAGATTTTAAATTGGTATAGTCCATTCGGTGTCACAAAAGATAAAGTTTGATGCCACCGTTATAACGCTCCCTGTGATTCTGGATGGTACGCCGTAGATTTGAATTGTTTTATTCTTAAGCACCCATAACTTCACTGAATAATTTTGATGTAAAATTTGATCCTTGATCTGATTGTATCTCTATGGCTAGTCCGTATCTAGTGAAAAATTTGAGTAACTCTTCTACAATCCTTTTAGCTATGATATTGCACAAAGGAATAGCCTCTAGAAACCTAGTGGACACATCCATCATTGTCAACAAATACCGATTCCTACTTTTTGTTTTAGGTAGCAGTCCTAAGTAGTCAATTAAGACCCTTATAAAAGGCTTCTCAAATGCAGGAATGGGTATTAAAGGGTGCTGGTTTAATCACTGCCTGAGGTTTTCCAATTACCTGACACGTATGACATGTCTGAAAATTCAACTACATCATTATGCAGTGCTGGCCAATAAAAATGCTTTTGTATTTCGGCTTGAGTTTTCCTCACTCTCAAATGACCTCCTACTGGAAAGTCATGTGTCAACTACAATACCTCCATTCTACAACCCACCGGTAATACAACTTGATGAACTTCTGCCCATTTCTCATCCACCTGAATATGCGATAGTCTCCATTTACTCATCAAGACATCATTTCTGTGATAGTAACATTCTGGAATACACTCAGATCCTTCTTCTGTGTACGCTTTTTGATACAATTGCTCCAGTTTTTCATCTTTCTGTTGTAACTCAGTTAATGTTTCTAAACTAAAAATATCCACTGTTCTTGTTTTGTCTCAACTATTTGATCAAACATGGTCGTCTCTGATAATTCTACATCACCTTCCTTATCTGTATTCTTTGATGTCTCCTCCTGCTTCAACCAGAGGCTTTGTGACCCTTGTTATCACACAGTCAGGAAAAATCCCAGGATAAACTTTCTCTAATACCTCAGTTGCCTGATTTTCCACTGGCTTTTCAACCATAGTAGGCAGCACTCCTACTTGTGATCCAGCTGTATCATTACCAAAGACAAATTGTATTCCTGGAGCCGAGAGTTCGCCAAGTACTTCTACCACCACTTCTCCACTTTACATCAGATAGGCCATCCTCATTTTATGTAATGGGGAACTTCTCACCTCACAATGATTTCCGCATATTAGCACGCTTTCTGGCAATAGTCCATCTGAAATCGATGTCAGAAACCAAACTTTGATTTATGAACCAACTCATAACCATCAGCCATTTCAGCTGCTAATCTTGCAGTTTTAACTCTCTGCTTTTCCACGAGTTCTCACTACTTCAGGAAGTGAATGTTTGAACTCCTCCAAAATAATCATCTCTCTAAGAGTGTCATATGTTTGATCAATTTGTAATGCCCTTATCCACCTACAAAATTACTTTGTTTGATCCTTTCAAACTCAATGTACGTTTGACCAGGGTCCCTCCCTATATTCTTCAAATGTTGTCTGTAGGCTTCTGGCACTAGCTCATATGCACTTAAGATGGCTTTCTTCAACTCCTCATACTCCCCAGATACCTCCTCTGATAGTGATGCAAATACCTCATTAGTTCTACCTACCGACTTCATTTGGATCAACAAAACCCACAAGGTTATCAGCCACTTCATTTGTTTAGCTACTTTCTCAAATGAAACGAAAAAGGCTTCTACATACTTCTCGTCAAAGTTTGGCAGTGCTTGGACATATTTAAACAGATCCCCAGCAGCCCTTTGACTGCAATGGATTTGCTCATCATCACAATCCTCCTCATTAAGCCCTCTGCCCTTTTTAGTCAACTTTCCTGTCTAATTGCCAACTTCTGAAGTTCGAACTCCCTCTCTCTTTCTGCTTTTCTTCTACGAGGGCTATGCTTTCCTTTTCTTTTTATTCTGCCAGGCCTATTCTTTCCTTTTCTCTTTCTTCAGCTTTTAATCATAATTCAAACTGTTTAATTTCCTTTTCATGTTCAAGCTGCCTCATCTCAATTGAATTCTAGCCATTTCCAAAGATTCCAATGGCATTTCCAGCAAATTTAAGGGGTGAGCTATTGCTGTAATTACTTTCCCTTTTCTCACAGACAAAGGCAACCCCAACGCCAGCCTGTCCTCCAATTCCAACAACGTTGCCTTGCTCACTTTTTGTAAAACTCCCAAAGTCACTTCTTCCACCCACAGAAAACTCTTCGTGACTGAAAGTGCCATTACTACCTAAGGCAAACCCTGTTTGAACCCAACCGAATTCAACACCCAAAATAAAAGACACCAACACCTACCAGTCACCATCTTTGAGTCGAACAATCCTAAACGCAAATTGGAATTATAGAATTCGATCCTGGACAATCTCCCAATTTGTTATGGACCAGACCAGATCCCCTCAAAATATTTTAAGGAGGTAGCCTAGACCTTAACTTTTTCTTACTTTAAAGGTAGATGTGATGTGCTTGTTCCAGATGTGATGCAACAGTCAAACTACTCCACATTAAGCAAAACACAATTTATTTAAACATCATAATTAAAATACAAACAAAAGAAAGAGGAATTTGGAATAACAACTGTTGGGAAACTTAACCAAATAATAGATACAGTACCTATTACTAAATAACTGTTTTAATATAGTAACATCCCATAAATATACCCCTTGGCAAAAAGGTAAAGTTAGACACAGATTCTTACCTGCAGTTCTCAAATCCAGGAGGAAACAACATCAAGAGAGATGTCAGAGAAAGCAGCAACTAGGAATCATTTTCTGAAGCTCCAACCCTTCTGGGACCCAAACAGCTTCTGACTGCTACAGCTAAAAAAAAACTAGAGAGCCTGATCTGTGAGAACTGGCCATTCCACTTCCAGTGTTACAACTGTTTTTTAAAAAAAAACCTAAAGGCCTCCTAAACTATTGACTTAGGCCATCTTCAGTAGCCATGTGCATACCTCTGCCTTTACAAACTCTTGTCAAAAAACCAAGTACAAAATAACATTTTCAAAGTGACAGAATTGTCATAGCTTGGGAGGACCAAACTCATCATGCTAATTATGGACTAACTCACTAAAAAATTTAAAGTCAGTTTTCATCCGGACACAGGAGTCTGGCCCATAGCTTTGTATCCATTGTGAAAATTCAGCCTTAAATATTAGCAGTTTATGTCTGATATATCAGGTGAGGCATCGGGGTATTGCAGGGAGAGCATGGTGCCAGTCTGTCTCCTCCAAGTGGTCTCATGTCATTTGGGCCTGGAGTCAGGTGAAGTCCAGCCTTTCCTTGTTTTAGATGGTCTAAATATGTAATTGTCAAGTGTAGTGAGGTTCCAGGGTGCCAATACCATATTGAAAGAAAATTGCACGTCATGCAATGACAATTTTGAACTTGTGTCGTGTACCTTTATAAATTTTATGTCAAATATTTTTATTGAAAAAGTTAACACTAAAACGCTGGTCTTCCTACAAAGCAGGGAGTCTCCTGCCCATCGCACTCCGACCGATTGCGGTAAATGATCAGGCACTCACCCTGGACAAAGTAGACCTCTCCGCCATGTCCCATGACCTGAAAGAACGAGTGAAAAGGTCAGCGCCGGGACAGTGAAGATGACCAACGCCAACCGTTTCTCGAGGCACACACTCACCTGCTCATCCCCTTCACGGTGGCCGAAAGCGTCAGTCGACGGGAGGTGCTGTGGGCCCTGCGGGAACCGGGATTGTCGGCAGAGACCGCGGGCGATCGTCACGTCTCAGGAAACCATTTCAATGGAGCCCGGTTTCAAATCGCTGCCGCCCGGTATCAGCCCGGCCCAGGCTCCCGGAACACACACAAAAAACCCTTCTCCTTGGTAACCGCGGCGTCGTCTCCAGGGCAACCGCTGCGGGCCAAGTTCCAGTGCGTGCGTGTGGATAGCCTGGGCTGTGGCTGCCTGCTTGCTGCACATTACTCCCCGTACTTCCCATTGACCGGTTGCATCGTTTCATTTTTTGTTTTGCACAACAGCGTGCAAGCACATGGGTCAGGAGTAGGCGTTTCAGCTTCTCTAGCCTGCACCGCCATTCAAATAATCACATCCACAATGCGTACAGAAATGTGTAATGTCACGGTATTAACATATCAATCATTACTCTAGTTGTTTGCAGAATATTATGTATATTTATACCATTTACTTTTACAAATAAACATGATTTGCTACGTTGGTACCCAGAGGCCCTCCACATCGTGCACACAACAGGTGCCATGCATGTAAAAGATACATGTAATTGGCCATGAATATAAACAAAAACAGAAATTGCTGGAGAAACTGAAGGACTCCAAACGAAACATTAGTTGTGGGTTCTTTCCACTGATGCTGCCAGACCTGCTGAGTTTCCCCAGCAATTTCTGCTTTTCTTTCAGATCTTCAGCATCCACACTTCTTGTTTTATGCCCGTGAATATAAATAGATGTATCCAATTGAAATGAAAGTTCAATGGGGAAGGGGAATGTGGTGTGCGCATGAGGTCAATTACAGGGCAAATGAGTGAATCAGAAATTGTAATTACGCAAGGATGAGGAATTGCTCAATGGAGAGTTTGAGGGAGGGAGGTAAAGAATACAACCAAATATCAGGTGGCCCCACAGATCTCTTTATCTCAATCACTGATGAGGTTATATTCAACTACTTATTTGTATCTTCACAGCTCACATCCTTCTATTGCCCTACCTCCTTCTGCACCCAATCTTGGTAAATCATTACTCCAAATCACCTATCACTCCACTTTGTTTCCCAGTTGCCTAGCCATTGGCCTTTTTGGCAATTCTGCAGCTGTTGATCTGTTGAATCCCTTCTTCATGTCTGCTATCCATAGTCCTAATCTCAAGTACAACTTTTATTCTCTCCTCTCAAAATTGATCCTTCTGGTCTGCTCCTGTTTTTCTCTTTCTAGTTGAAAGAGCAATTATATCTGATGAACAGCATTTTTTAGCCAACGATCATCAGAATTGGTTAAAAGACATTAAGCATTAGTGAAATCACTCAGTAGGACTGTTCTGAAAGCAAAGATATCAGCACAACTTCTTTTCCATTATATCAGATATCTTATTAAACTTCAATCATGATATTATCAAATGGTGGGGTAGGCTCAAGAAGCTGAATTGCTTGCTCCTCCTCTTAGTTTTTATAATTCCTCAGTCCTCACTTGGAACAACAAGTAAAAGGTGCTAATGCACTTGTTTGTCACCAAAATTAGCATCTATTGTCACAATCTATTCAGTTGCCTCTCATGTTGCCCTTCTTGCCCACTGACCCAAACCTTTCCAATACTTTCCATTGCCTGCTACATCCAGCTCCACTCTCCATGTTCCTAAAGTGATATTGTCCCTCAAACCCTTTTCCATCTTTCTGGCAAATCCCTGTTTATTTATCTTCAATCAGATTTCTACTTAGGGCAGACAATTGAAATAGTCTCAGCCAAAGTCACAAATGATACAACCCATCTATTTTACTACATATACCCTTAACTACATGACACACTGTCATAAGGTTACCTCTCATTTGAGTTCTTTCCAATTTGAAAAGAATACACATATGTAGTTTTCCCTCACAATTTGGACCCCTGACCACTGTAAATTGCTTAAAAACCCATCTGACTCACTAATGTTCTTTAGGGAAGGAAACCTCCACCCTACATGTGATTCCAGACTGACAGTGATGTGGTTCACATTTAATTACCCTCTGAAATGGCTGAGCAAGTCTCTCAGTTGTATCAACTACTACAAAGTCTAAAGAAAGGAATGAAACCAAATGGACCACCTGACATCAACTAAGGCACCAGAAATGACAATGGCAAAAGCAGCCCTGTTGCCCCTGCAAAGACCTACTTACTAACATATGGGATGGGTATCAAATTTCGGAAAGCTGTGTGACAGAATAGTCAAGCATAGCCTGGCGTAATCATATTCATGGAATAATGCTTTACAAACAATGTCCAGACACCACATTCTCATCATTGGTTATTTTCTGCACCATGAGCAGAACAGACCCAACAGAGGTGGTGGCACACTGGTATACAATCAGGAGGCAGACGCCCTAAGATTCTAATAATGATTCCAACTCCGTGAAGTCTCATGGCACCAGTTCAAATATGGGTAGGAAATGGCCTGCTGATTACACATACTGCCCATCTGCACCTCCACTTCAGCAGATGAATCAGTACTTCTCTATATTGAACACTACTTGGAGGAAGCACTGAGGTTGGCAAGGGCACAGAATGTACTCTGGATGGGGAACTTCAATGTCCATCACCAAGATTGGCTCGGTAGTAACATGACTGACTAAGCTGGTTGAGTTCTAAAGAACACACCTGCAAGACTAGGTCTGCAGCAGGTGATGAAGGAACTAATAAGAGGGAAAAGTATACTTGACCTCATCCTCACCAACCTGCCTGCTGCTGATGCATGTGTCCATGACAGTATCAGTAAGAGTGACCAGGACACAGTATTTTGGAAATGATGTCCTGTCTTCACAGTGAGAATACTTTCCATTATGTTGTGTGGCACTCATCATCATCATCTGCAGTCCCTCACAGACGAAGATGACTCTCTTCTACTCTCAGGGTGAATCTGTAGGTGGCTGTACAGACCGACGCAGCTACCACTGGCTCTGTTATTCTTGGGGCAGGTGGTGATCGCACGAAAGGGTGAGTTGGGCATTGGTGTGCCAGTGCACTCCATTTGCTGTTTTCACCTGGCTTCCCTTTCTTTCTGACAGCAAGTCTCGAGGTGCTCGATGTCTTCCCAGATTCTCCACCTCCATTTTGGATGATCTTAAGCCAGTGATTCCCAGGTGTTGTGGGAATGTCACAATTCACTGGTGAGACCTTGAGGGTATCACTGAAGATCTTCCTCTGTCAACCTGGGGCTTGCCTGCTGCTTCAAGCACTAGCTTGGGGAATCTCATGTTGGTCATGGAGACAAGGTACCCAGCTCTTTGCAGTCAATCAAGGATGGTCAGTGCCTCAATGCTGGGGATGTTGGCTTGATCGAAGATGCCGGCATTCGTACTTCTTTCTTCCCAGCAGATTCACAGGATCTTGCACAGGCAGCATTGGTGGTACTGCTCCAGTGCCTTGAAGTGTCTGCTATAGACAGTCCACGTCTCAGAGCCGTACAGGAGCTTGGGAACCACCACAGTTCTGCAAACCGTGATCTTGGTGTCAGATCTGATGTTGTTGTTTTCAAATACCCCTTTCCTCAGGCAGCATTGTCACCATGCTAAATGGGATAGATTTGAATTTGTTTTCCTTTATTCATTCATGGGATGAGGGCATCACTGGCTAGGCCAGCATTTATTGCCCATCCCTAATTGCCCAGAGGGCAGTTAAGAGTCAATGACATTGCTGTGCGTCTTGGGTCACATGCAGGCCAGACCAGCTAAGGATGGCAGTTTCCTTCCCTAAAGGACATTAGTGAACCAGATGGGTTTCTCCAACAATCAACAATGGATTTATGGTCATCATTAGACTCTTAATTCCAGATACCTATTGAATTCAAATTCCACCATCTGCCATGGCAGGATTCGAATCCAGGTCCCCAGAACATTACCTGGGTCTCTGGATTAACAGTCCAGCAATATTACCACTAGGCCATCACCTCCCCTTACGAGAATAGGTCTAGTAACACAAGACTGGATATTCATGAGGCACTGTGGGCCATCAACTGCAACAGAATTGTTCGCAACACATTCGAAAATCTCATAACCCAGCATATCGCCCACTCTATCATTACCATAAAGCCGAGGGATCAACCCTGCTTCAATGAACAGTACAGGACGTCTTTCAAAAGCAGGTGTACTTAACAGTCTAAAAATGAGGTGTCAATGTGGTTAAGCTGCAAAACACAAATACTTGCATGCCAAAGAGCATAAGCAGCAAGTGATAAAGCTAAGCGTTTCCACAACCAATGGATCATGTCTAAGCTCTGCAGTCCTGCCACATCCAATCATAAATGATGGTGGACAATTAAACAACTCACTGGAATAGGAGGCTCCACAAATTTCCACAACCTCAGTAAGGAGTCCAGCACTTCAATGCACAAGGTAAAGCTGAAGTATTTGCAACATTCTTCAGCCAGAATTGCTAAGTGGCTAATCCAACTTGGCAAAGGGTAAATGACATCCATACCACACAAATGCCAGTCAATGATCTCCAACAAGAGAGAATCCAAACATCAACCCTTGACATTCAGTGGTATTGCAATCACTGAATCCCTCACTATAATAATATTGGGGTTAGCATTAGCTGGAAACTGAACTGGGCTAGTTATTGCTAAAAGAGGAGGTCAGAAGCTAGGAATCCAGCAGCAGGTATCTCACCTCCTGACTCCTAAAGCCCGTCCACCATCTATAAGGCGCAAGACAGGAATGTGATGGAATACTCCCCAGTTGCCTGGATGAGTGACTCCAATTGCACGCAAGAAGCTTCACACAATCTAGGTCAACGCAGCCCATTTGATTGGCACCACAACCGTAAGCATTTGCTCCCTCCACCATTGATTCTTAGGACCAGCAATGTGTACCATTTACAAGATGCACTGTAGAAATTCACCAAGGCTCCTTAGACATCTTCCAAAACATGATCACTATGATCTAGAAGGGAAAGGGCAGCAAATACCTGGGAACACTGCAATCTGCAAGTTTCCTTCCATGCCACTCACCATCCTGACTTGGAAATATATTTTCTCAGTGTTGTTGGGTAAAAATCCTGAAAGTCTCTCCTGATGGCATTGTGAGTGCACATACACC